AAAAAAAAAAAAAGCGGCTATTGAGTTCAAAGATTTCAGATGCCGAAGGAAGGCGGGGGTGGTCCCAGGGTCGGAAACTCCCCGAGAAAGGGTGATTCAGTCCCACGGGGTACTCTTAGTCTCTGATGAGTGTTCAATGTTATGCCAAGAAGGCTTAGCTTCGGATGATCAATTGCTTTTTCCACTGCCGTTTGCAGTATTCCTAGTGGGGATCCTTTGCCTCGTCCCGAGTCTTTTTCCCGAGATCAGCGCCCCCGAAACCCAGTTCGGTTAGCCTGGTGGAGACTCGGCAATCACGCTTTTAACCGGTGTGGAGGAATTGTATGCTATGACTATTTGCACCTAGGGTAACTTAGCCGATCAGCTAAATCAGTTGGGGGAAGCTGGGGCAGTCGTCCGGACATCCTACGTACAAACGTAGACTCGCACACACTTTCGAGCTCTTATTCTATCCTGAATAGAACGAAAATGCATGCTTAGATTCGTCTCCGCCATTCAGGCCGATGTGAACTAGGAAATTCTTCCCGTAGTGGACAACCATAGTGCAGTGACAGTGACGTGATGATTCCCTTAGGTAAAACAACATCAACTTATCTTTACGAAATGACTAGATAGATCAGCAGACCTCCACGTACACTGCTGATATAGAAGCGATTATAAAGCCTGGACAAGTAAATGTATTACCTTGATTACCAGAATCGATACACCAGTCCGAACCCCCACATATATATCTATAAACACTGTATGAAACTAAATGCTAGGGTAGACAACGGCAGAAGTTTAGAAATAAGCCTTCTAGACTCATACACGTGGGACAGCAAAAGCTTTAGATCATTCTTTGAGAAGGTGCGATTTCGACCTCATGAAACAAATAAAACATTAAGATGCTTGCCAAAGCGTTGATGGGGATCGTTGAAGCCATCATCCATATCATCCATGCGAAGCGAATAGTGAGTTAGTTAGGCGGTGCGGCTGCTGACCTAAGACGGTTATATAAGCCGGCGATCCGATCCTTTCAGGAAGTCGTCATTCCTCGTGTCTCCACTCAATATTTGCCGGTTCTCCACTAATCGGCACCATGTTGCCCAAATTCTTGCAAAGCAGTTACGCTCGTTACAAGAATGATACCAACAGCTTTGCAACCTGGCTACTCGACGCAGCCAGCAAATGTGGCTACCGTCCCGACGGCCTTACCTCGACCGCCCCTCCAGTGAACCAAGGCAAAGGCAAAAGCAAAAGCAAGAGCAAATCTAAGGCGGCCCATACCTCCTCAGATCCAGTCCAGTACAGCACAACCATCAAGGAGCTCCAAGTGCTCGCGGATGTCGTTGCCAAATCGACTCTCACGGTGCCTCAGCCCGTTCTCACCATTGCCAAGCGAGCGATCAAATTGAGAAAACATGTCACGTCATGGTTTTTGGGGCAGGGCGACACCGAAAGTAATAAACGGCACACTCACTTTATCGCTGCGTTGGAGAGTGTTTGCGAGACTCTGGAATGGAAGACGAAGAAATCTTCCAATTTAGATCGGAGGCAGCCTCCTCTAACCTCTTCTACCCGAGATGGCGATGCGGACCTTGACATGTTCCTGAACAAATTCGCCGTACTTACCGTGGAGGAACCACAAGAACATCAACAGGAGCCGAGAGCCTCTCCTGGATCACAGAAGCTCGTAAAGGTGGAGCTGGTTGAGACTGACGAGGATGAGGCAACACCTTCGTATTTCGGCCATCTGTTCTTCAAGGCGTTCTGCTTGTTCCAGGATTTGCATAATATGCGGGTATTTATCTCCCACACCTGGTCGGAATATCGAGGAAAAAAGATCGATCTCATGAATGCGGCTCTCGTGACTGATAGCGCATTGCAACTGGCGCGAGATCTGGTGCAGGAGGTGGTGGATGACTGGGCTTCTGCCACCATTTCTCACGATGAAAATATTCAGGACCTGGTTTTCAAAGCTGCCTGCGTCACCCGGCGTATCCTTCCGATTCCATCCGCTGAAATCGGCCTGCCATACAACCAACACATGGCCGACGTAGCCGAGTGGTGCTATTTGCCAACGCGGGTTATCCTGGAATCGTTCGCACGTGTTTTGCAGGATAATCATCTTCCGGTCTTTAAGAAGGGCTATTTCGGTATTTATGACCCGAAGGCAAACCGAGCGGGGATGTCTCTGGGTCAGAAATTCAACGAAGACAAGATCCTTCTTCTTCAACTCTTGCCGGAGTTTTGCATGATCGATACATTCGGTATCCGCATGCCTAGCTCGGATTCGATTACTAGAGGTCTTGTTGAGTTTTGCAAAACCAAAAAGCTTGATCCTTGGCTTTGCTTCGCCTGCCAAATCCTGCTTGATGTTCATCATACCATGCGTTACAACACTTTAAGTGCATTCGACGACCTCCGGATGTCCGGACTGCGCATTCAAAAAATCATTGATGACTACTGGAAGATTTCGAAGACCCATCCACAACCCCCATTCTGGCCGAAGGAGGGTGACGATGAGATCAAAGATATCCACTTCACCGTGGATTCATGGATCATCAAGGATCCCTTCGCAGAGCTGAGGCGTCGTTCAATGCCAGGGAATAGTGCGCTCGAGAAACACGTCCTTTTCTCCCAGCATTCTATTCTTTGTGGCTTGACATTGTTTCATCTCAACATTCGGATGCAGTCCGTTGGCCAACAACTCGTGACTCAGTGGTACGATGTCCAACAACTGGCATTCTTATACAATCTGGTGAAAATTCAAACGCACAAGAACCTGAGCTGGCCTGATATGGAGGCTTTTATCAAGATTCACGGCGAATCTCATATATTCATTGGGTCTCGACCAAAGAATGCTGCCGAGTCGTTAAATAGACTTGAACTGGCCACAGGCATATCCTCGGTTGCCAGATTTGCCCGTGATTCCCGTAACAGGGAAGGCTTCCATCGCCCCGATGGAAAGAATTCCAGGGTACTTACGCCCACCACTGCAATTTCAACAATGTTTCGAGCCCAGTTTGTTGCTGGCTTTGAGGAAGGTGATGGTATTGGAAACATTGACAAGATCTTGAGTAAGCTTTCGCAAGAGCCATGTCACAGGTTCAGCAGCAAGGAGCTGCAACCATCCGATACACAAAAAACGTTACATCCTCGCAACATCGGCACACTGCAACTTCTCGCCCTCATGAAGAGTCGGCTGGCCGAAGAAGAGCCTCTGATCTTGTTTAACTACTTTGGCATGCATAAACGTGCTATTGAGCTCCTGAGACTGATCAAAGCGAAAGAGCACCATAAATTTGTCCAATATTTCACTGCAGATTATATGCCAGATGAGTCCTTTATCTCAAACATCGTACTTCTGATTCATCATGTCGCCCGAGGGTCGGCGGCAAGTTCTCGGGCGTTGGGCATCTCACCCACAACAAGCAATGGCACCCAGGTTGTCAGTCGAATTGTCATGAGTTGTGGTGATGTCATGAAAGAATATCTGCAGAGGAATGGCGACGTGGCCTGCAAAGAGCTAAGGGTCTTCTCCAAGAGCAAAAAGGCTATCCTGGATGAGGTCAATAATGACAAGGGCAGATCTGAAGAGCTTCAGTATTGGTTCAACATTGAAGAGGCTTTGGACCCAAAGGTTCTTGCCTCGTTCATGACTGGAATCCTGATTGCTTAGGCGGGTGATGGCTCTGGCATTGTAATCTACGATCTAGTAGACATCGTTTCAGCGTGAGCAATAATGGACTACACAGCTGGTTCTGAGCTGTATCAGCACGGAAGATAAATGATATCTCTCCCAAACTATGAGAGTAGAATCTCTCTGTACTTAAATATTACATAACTCGGGGTTATAGTTAATCTTTACTACTATGCTAGAATGTGCGCTGGATATCGTATTTGTCGCGTATATTTTACCTGCAGTGATCATGATCAACGGCTGCCTTTAGGATATAGATAGAAGAGGAGCAATTATTGTGGAAAGTTCGGCTCGGTATTTAAAAGAGGGCAGTCTTTATGATATCTAATATTCCCTGAGATAGTAAGATAAGTGGCTTATTCTATAGGAAGTATCGGTATTAAATATCTATAATAGGCTGTTATAGAGTATAGTTGTTTTTGCCAATTCGTAGAACTTTTCTACTAGATTCTTTAAAATTACAGCTATAAAGGGGTCGGTTCAAATAGAAAAGCGGATATGAGGATGCCCATGCACCCCCTCACTGTTATCTATCAATCAATTTCCACATATCCAAATTCGTCATGCCGAGTATAAGACCTGGTAGGGATAAGGTACTGAAGGCGCGACCTTGTACCATATGGCTATTTTGGTCGAACGGGAATGACAAGACCTACCAAAATCTTTATGACAAGTATCACATCTCTTGGATGCCGTAAGCTCTTGCGAGACGACAAAGGTTGTGAGACTCACATGGCGTTTGGAGGTTGGAAACGCTGGTGAGCCTGAAATCCTTGGTAACCCCGAAATGGCTGGGAAGTCTCAGTGAAGATACAGCGGTGAAGTATAAAACCGAGCAATTGGAGATGCAACAGAAACCACCGCCACCCAGTTATTCTAACGGGTTCTGGTGCGACAGTAACGGGGCCGACTGCTGTCACGATGCTGTCAGGCTAGACATGGGACAGATGTTAAATGTGACTGTCACATCATTATCAGGATCAACATCCGACTCTTTCCCATCCGCCACTGTATCCGATACCCCGGAATCTACAGAATCTGCCACATGTACTCCAGAGATAAACTCATCCAACCCCAAAAAGACCACAGCTGTCGCAGCTGGTTTAGGGGCAGGACTGGGCACATGCCTGCTAATCACGGTGATTACAATTCTCATGCAACGACGAATTTACACGAAGAACATGCGGGAAAAGGGAGTGATAATCAGCTCTCAGAACTCGGCAGGTGTACCGCAATATGAAGCTTGTCCAATTGAGTCTGAGATAAGGGCAATGCCTGTCCCCATGGACTTGGCGGCGGAGGAACCAAGGGTCTATGAGGCCGCAGGGGATCGTTAATAAACACAGAGAATCCAAATCGCAGACGGAGAATTCCAGGAAAGTAATAGTAAGGTACAAAATATGTTCAAGACAAACGTCCATTTTGCAAACCCTGTGACTTTAATATCTTTCGGAAGGAGCTGGAGAATCTCAACTACTTTGCAGATGTGCCCAACATTGTGCAGGTAGCTGGGGTTACCATATCTAGAAGCCCTTGTATAGCTGCAAAGGGTAGCAATGGAGACCTAGTTGTGACTGGGATTCTGCTCAGGGCATGTCCTACGGGAACTTTACCGGACTCCTTTCAGAATCAGCGACAAATAGTATTCTGAGAGCCAGCTTATATATTCCACTACATCGTAAGTAAAACAAATCGCTCCAATCTCCTTGATTCTCCTTTACCGTTGCGTGTAGAGTTGATCGGGTTTCCCGCTGAGCCCGCCCTGAACCCGGTAATTCCCTGGGACGGGCCCTAGATCTAGAACCTAGAAGCGGATTCTACTCTGAAGTATAACTGACTCCGGGAACTGCTATAAGCCTAATATAAGCTATTTATCAATTACTTCGTGTATTACCTGCTGGATGGAGCGCTACTGAATTCCCGGTTCTTTCTCTTTCCTCATTCTGTCGGTCTGCATGGACTTACCTTCTAGGTCGGCAGGAACCCTCGCTCCTAGGTTGGGATAGTCATGATGTAAGAAATGTGCCATAATGCAATCGGGGAAGTATGTATAAATCCGTCTGACAATTTTCATTTTAGTCAGAAATACAACCTCTTGAAATTGCAATTCGCAATTCTTGGGGCACCATCATCTAGTTGTGAAATGCTATCGGAAACACTAGAATAGGTGCCCCCTGATTACCTAGAATAATCTAATAGAGCCCAGCCTCTACCTCTCCAGGCTCGAATATACTCCTCACGTCTCGCCCTACTAGTTGCTTCGAAAAATATTCAGTACACCTTTCCATTTACAAAGTCCCCTGCGCCTTGGTTCCCAGCCCGGAAGCAAACCAGATTGCCACTTCCCTCACCGGGACTTTGGTTTGGCAAATAACGAGTGACAGGGGGTCTAAAGTCAATTGATTTCGTGACGGGAAAACTATACTCAGATCCCTCGCGCCTTTTGCTCAAGAATTAATTGGTCGGCCCCTATAATCTGCTAATTTCATCAAACCACGGGCTTGAAGTATAAATTCCCAGACAGGCGGAAGGGACTGCTAAACTTCGGCCCGCCGTGGGTCAAAGTGGGTCGCCGTGCGTCAAGCGCCCCCTGTGGCTTAATGGCTGGTTCACGCTTGAACTACCATTCGAATACTTCTGATGAAGGTTCAGGTCCAAGCGCTTTCTAAGTCTTGGCTGCGCCACATGGCCATTTTCGGTTAGTTTCCCAGATAAGAAATCAGTGATACGGCTGGATCAGTCCAAATTATCAATCCAGTCAACATATTCGCTCGGTACGCCCCGGAGATTGGTAGAACTCATATGCCGCAAGCCGAAGTATAGAGCGTTGGGCGCAATTCGGCAAACCGAAGTTGAGTAAAATAACTCTATCCGCATGTCTCATCCAGTCCCATCATGATCTCACCGTTCACATAAGCCCACTTCTCAAGTTTGTGGTTGTGCATCCCGAAAGCCTTCCGAAGTGGTAACTCGCCATAGATTTGCTACTGCTATTATTCCCTTTTAACTCGACTCCCCAGTCGAGGCGTATTCGGTTGATGCACCCAAGGTATGTCAGCTCAAAGAGTTGAGTGACTGGAGAAATGGTAGTAAGATGATTTAAACTTTATTGAGCTTCTTGGTAAACCGCCAACCCGATGCGGGCGAGGCAGAGGAACGTTTGCTTGACGTGAAAACTGAAAGGGGATGTGCAAAATGTCTAGTGGGCCATAAATTGCATTTGGTGACAGGATCCAATCTCACCACGAAGTGGATTCATGTGAACCCACTCGTGTTTGCCAAGTGAACTCAAGCCTTTCATTAATTGAGATCTTCATGAAGGACAAAAGGTCACACCGACGGAAGGCTATTGCTCATAGAGTACGCCATTTCTATTGTGGATAAGCAATCATCGATACGGCTGAGTGAGTCCAAATTATCAATCCGGTCAACCTATTCGCTCGGTGTGCCCCGGAGATTGGTAGAAATCATACACGGCATGCCGAATCCAACGAGCGTTGAGCGCAATTCGACATTGAGCACCCACGAGGAGAATGCCGGCATTACGATAGGCGGATTGTTATAAACAGAATCCATTGGATAATTTTGTTCCTTAAATGCCTGAACGACGAGAAGAAAAGAGTATATATAGCTTGGACTTTGCTCTTCGTCTTCCCTCCGACCTCGATCTTTCAGTAGGAACACAACTCCTTCCAAGTTTACTCTAGTGAGGTATCATCTTCTCAGGTATCTCCAAGGCAAAGGTATTTCCATCGAAAAATCCCGGAGGTTCTTTCATCCAGTTTCTCGTGTTAAACAACGGGCTGACTTCTCATCTTACATAGTTTCCGAAATGGTTCGCACGAAGCTGGCTCTCCTGTTGGTGCTCCTGCACGCAGCTTTTGGCTCCTCCTATCGCTGGTTTAACTGGCAATTTGAGGTTACCTGCGAGTCTGACGCTTACATTGCCCCGCACAATGAGGCTGCCGTTGCCAAGTTTCTTAAGGAGCAGTATCCCAAGGGATCCCACATCAAAGTTGTTGGAAATGGCCATGGATTCGGTAACCTCTCCACCTGTGTGGACAATTCTCTCACTGAGAAGCCCTCTTACATCGTGTCTATGACCAATCTGAAGGGGCTCAACATCGATAAGAAGAATATGACCGTCACCTTTGGTGCTGGTTGGGATGTTTATGACCTCACCGAAGAGCTTAAGGCTAACGATCTGTCTTTCGGGAACCTGGGTGTTGAGCGTGTTCAGAACTTCGTGGGTGCCGCCTCCACCGGTACGCACGGCTCTGGGTCCGTCATTGGTAATATCGCCAGTCAGATCATAGGACTGCGTGTGTTGGACGCGCAGGGGAACCTCCGTGTTATTAACGAGACAAACAACCCTGAAGAACTGAAGGCTTTCCGTATCAGCCTCGGTGCCCTTGGTCTCATCACGGAGATGACCATCAAAGTCCAGCCTACGCTCCTCTTGAAAAAGACCACCAAGGTCGTGAATGCTACCTCCGATTACACCCAGATGGGTAAACAGCTTGCCCAGCTGTACAAGGACCACGACCGCGTAACTGTCTGGGGTCCTCACTTCGACTGGAATGAGGCCTCTCAGAACTGGGATCTGGAGCCAACTTACTTCTATTCCTACTGGGAGCCGACAAACTACACTGGAGTTCGCAACTGCACTCTCGACTATTGTGCCAATGGTTGTGGTGACTGCAAGAGGGAGTATATCTGCTACGACGAAGTCATTGACGCCGCGTCGTGCCCCCCTCAAGGTGTCTGTGACCGAGAGTTCTATGCTGAGATCGAGCACTTCCTTCCCATCGAGTTTTATGCCGAAGCTGCCGCCGACTATATTAGTTATCAGCAGTCCCAAACTCCCCGTATGCAGGCTCCCTACAACAACATGATGGTAATCCAGCACCGTTCGCTCAAGGGTGATGATGCATACATGTCTCCGGTCAATACCTACAACCTTGGCTCGGATCTCAGCGGTGTTTTTGCTATTATCGAAATTGACTGGATCCAAACGTATAACAACTTTACAACTCTTTGGCAAAACCAGGAGTTGGGGTACGAATTCATGGCTAAATTTGGTGAAAAATACAACGTTCGGCCCCACTGGAACAAGATGAACCCTCCTAACGCAACCTACGCTCTGGAGAAATTCCCGAAGCTGCCTGAGTTCTTGGCAATCCAACAGCGCCAGGATCCTAAGTGCCAGTTTGTCAACGAATTCTTGGTTGAGCAGCTTGGCATTACCCGGTGTGCGAACTACTTATCCATTTAAAATGGGATGTATAGTATGGGGCTTGAACCACTCACTCTTTTATTCTGTGTTCTTTGATTTTTATTCTCGTTGTTGAAGAGGTGGCCCATTTGTCAAAAGGCAAGTGACCATGGGATGTGGAATGCTAAGACGTCTAAACGCTCTAGACCCCAGGAGCAGTTGCAGAAAATAGTCGAAATTGAAAATTTGTTCAAGTAGTGGTATATTCTTGAATAGAGCTCCGTATATTCGACAACAGAGTCAACTAGATGTCCTGTAACACCGATTTCTCCATGATAAGGGCTCCAAAGTCAGAATGAAATCATTTTTCAGATAAACTCCGACCCACACAACGTAAGACTGAGTGGTGACCATAATGTAGCATTGGACGAGCTAGCTCAGTCAACCATCACAAATCAATTTGTCGAGACATGGGGCGGTAACTTCACTGCCAGACCAGAATTATACTGAGTGGCCCACTGTTGTCTGTGTTTTATATAGTAATTTGGCATCTTTGGTATTACGGTTGTCTTAATACCGCGTATTCTAGCCAGCTATGGGCTATATTGAACGTGCCCCATGATGGTCGTTCTTTTCTTCAATCAATCACTCAATCATCTCGAATTGGTTCCGCTTGCTCTTACCTCGTTGCCTATTCGCCCTACAGGATTACTAGCTCATACTGTCTTAGCTTGCCCTGATACAGTCTAAGTCTTAGTTAGTATACTTGTGTTGGCTGTAACATGGCAAAGATTGCGAGATCGTAATCGACTTCCCCTGTCACTACAGAAGACAGAATCAGGGCGCCTATACTGGCATCGCGTGTAGTGGTTGGTTTGTACAATAAGAGGGTATTCAAACGCGGCTAATTGCGGGTAAAGAGGTAACTAGCATTTAGTTCAGACGTGATACGCTGCTGAACCAGACCGGGCTGGAGCACCTAGGTAGTCGTGGAGGTAGGAATAAGGGAGTTAAGGACCGCAAAGTAGAAGGAAGCGGATCACTACGACCTTAAAGTGAACATGTAAACATACAATGGTGTTCCAAAGTCTCCACCCTTGCGATGTCATCATTTTCTACCAGTCATAAAAGTGTCCAAATTGCACCATTACTCAAATAATTTTGCTAAGAAAAAAATGTTCATGGAGGATAACCCCTCATTAAAAAGTACATCTGGTCTGAAAAGATACTTTACGTTTGCTTATATCAGAGGTTCTAGAGCTTCAAAGGACATACCGAGAGCGGCAAAGTTGGCAGTAGCGAAAAGGTGGACGGAGACTTTTGGATCACCACTATAGCCAAACCGAAGCGGTTGACCAAGGCCCCGAAATCTCTACAGTGGGAGTCCTGAGTGGCCGCCGCTAGCCAATCAGGGGGTCGTACTTGTGAACATGGCCAAGGCAGAGTCTACAGCGCGAACCCTTTCGAATATCCTTCGCAATAAATATAGCGAAGAATATTCCCGTCAAGATCCGAGACGGAGTATTCTCGGGTAATTTGACTGATCGTCCCTGAAGGGATTTCCAATTCATCGGTACAGGGGCTCGCCGAAATGCCCTGATTCGGACACGAAGTATCAGAATAAGTTTGTGATTACTTTCCATGCGTAGACTCCCCCAGTGGAGACTCCTGGAATACTAAATTGATGGGGTCTAACTCGAAGACGTGATTTCCTTTGCAAAATCATCAATTCCATCCACTCTCGCTATGGCGACCAGCGTGGGCTTCGCGGGCCAGCCAGCCAGCCCTTCATCTCCTATCCCTTCCACATTCGCCGTCTATGACAACAGATTCCTGGACATCATTGGGCCTGCGCCTAAGCTCGAAGTTATTCTCGAGAATGATACCTACCCGTTTGCGCACGAGGCCGGCGTCTTCATTCCGAACACTAATGAGCTCTACTTGAGCAGCAATCAATTCATCGATCCGGCCACCCAGCAGAAGACCATCGTCATTACCAAAGTCAATCTGGGCAATGATTCGGCTCCAGTTACTGCCGAGATCCTCAACACCGATATTCCCATGGCGAACGGAGGAATCAACTATGAAGATGGGATCCTCTGGTGCGGGCAAGGCACTCTCAACTCCACTGGAGGTCTCTTCTACATGTCCATCCAGGCCCCATACACGTCCGAGCTGCTTATTGACAATTTCTACGGCCGCCAGTTCAACTCGTTGAATGATGTCGTCGTGCATGCCGATGGCTCGATGTGGTTCACAGACCCGATCTACGGTTCCGAGCAAAAGATCCGTCCGCCCCCCCGTCTGCCCAACCAGGTCTATCGATTCGACCCCAAGACGAAAGAGGTTCGCGTCGTGGCAGATCGATTTGGCCGCACGAATGGAATCAGCTTCTCGCCGGATCAGAGGACTGTTTATATTACAGATACGGACTACAACCACGGTGACGGAACCATGGACCCCACGAGAGTTTCGACTATGTATGTGATTTCTCCCGGAGCATTGAATAAAAAGATTTCTCTGTTATTTTGATATCACTGACCTGAATAAACCAATAGCTACGCATACAACTTGACCATGATCAACGGCGCACCCACCCTGACCAACCGCCGTGTATTTGCCATGGCTGATACCGGAGCTCCGGACGGCATCAAGACCGACCTCCAAGGCAATGTGTACAGTGGCTGCGGAGATGGCATCAACATCTGGTCGCCAGGTGGCGTTCTTCTTGGCAAGATTTTGGTTAAGGGGGGAATTGCCAACTTCAGCTTTGGTCGCAACGGCAGGATGTTCCTCCTCGGCGAAAACAAGCTTTGGGTTGCTCAGCTGTCATCGCAGGTGAAGGGCTCAATTTTGAATATATAAATGCTGTCCCAGACCCTGTTCTGTTGGCATCTGTGCCACCCTTCACCTTATCCACTTCCAAGCAGCTTGTTCTTCTTGATTCCTTTGCTACTGTCGTAAATATTGAATTATTTGAATCTTATTTCTATCCCGAGATCTCTAGAATTCTTACCATTATCCTCTTCCAAGTTACGGAAGAAAGACAGGGAAAATCTTATAGGTACTGTTCGATATGCCAGTATCAGTAGACATCTGGGTGTCGAGCAGTCACGCCTTGACGATATGGAGTCGCTCGGCTACGTGATGCTTTGTTTCTGTCCTGGCTCTCTGCCCCACCAAGGTCTGAAGGATGATACTCCGAAGCAGAAATACTACGGCATTGTGCAGCAGATCACCACTCCAATTGAGGTTCGCTGCAGTGGTTTCCCGCACGAGTTCGCTACGTACATAAACCACTCTCGCTCGCTCCACTTCGACGACAAGCCTGACTACACGTATCAGCGCAAGATGTTCCTGACCTTTGGGCCCGCTAGTCCTTCCGATCCTCCGACGTCTTGGACAGGACCGTATACAAGCGTCAGATGAACGTCTACATGATTGTCGAGACAGCCATGAATAGAAGGCACGGCACCGCAGCCACCGAGAACATCGAACTGACCATCAAGAGTACCGGCGTCGTACGATCATGGACTAGGGAAGAGAACAGCAGGGCCTAACTTAAGAGGGGCGGAAAAATAAGAAGACTATCACTTCGCGGCCGGCTAGTAAAACTTCTCGAAAAGGCTTTCCTATCCTGGGCTAGTTTAGACATCTAGGAATGGAGAATGCTGGAGACTTAAAGATCCAATATTTGGCCTATAGCTCAATTAGGTGGCGAAACAGTTGTTGCAATCTTCGTATTGGCGCGTAACACGCATTCCTTTATTCCCTTTCAGAACTATATTAGATCTTGCCATAATGAACAACAAGCATGTCTGAGAGGAAGGCATCAAACAGTTCCGAAGGTGTATTGCGCTAGATTAATGGCAGGGCGGCCCTCAGGAGTATAGATCAGGTTAGATTTCTGACCCCATTGTTGGTTGTTGACACCATCGATCCAGCCTTCAGGTTCAATGGCAAGGCACCCGTATTTCTCAACGAATTCAGCCGCATCCTTCTGCTTGGTGTTTCTCTCAACTTGAGAAGCCTTCACCGGAATGGTTCCGTCCATGTTCAGGCAAGTGAAGAACTGGACTGCGGGTTGGTTCGTAGCAACCTCCATGCTAATCCCCGTAGTGCTGGAGTTCAGTCTGAGAGATGGAACAAGGTTATCGGAGGCAGCGGAATACAAGGGGTCACGGTCAATGATAAAACAGTTGTCATAGCCAACACAGCCGGGACCACAAAGCCCTTCGGTGTCTTGTATGTCTTGGCCAATAATCTTGCCGGCGGTAAAGTCCATTGCACTGTGGCTCGTCCCAGCAACCGTTGAGATGCTGCCATCAGGGACTTGGAGCTTGTCTGTGGCGATGAAGCGCTCTGACAAGGGCAATTGCAACCATGTGTCGTTGAGGATGGTCTGCCGCTTGAAGCCATTCAGGTTCCAGTAGATGTGGTTGGAAAGCATGATGGGAGTGGGTTCAGTGAGGGCCATAGAAACCAACTTGGTCGTCAGCCGCGGAAGACCCTCAAGATTCTCTGCGTTGCGCTTGGAGTCGACGCTGAACATGGCGTGAGTAACGACATCGCCAGGGAAACCTTCCGTTGCAGCATCGTAGAGCGTAAAGGTGACAGAGGAAGATGTGATTGCAGACACAGTCCAGTTTCGCTGATCATAGGCAATGTCTCCCCCGTGTAGAGTGTACAAGCCTTTCTGATTCTTTGGAATATGATATTCGGTTCCATCCAGGGTGAAAGTACCATTCTTGATGCGATTGGCAACTCGGCCAATGACCGCCCCGAAGTAGGTATGGCTGGACTCTGTGTCGTTAAGATACTGACGCGGGTCATCATAGCCGACGACAACATCTTGCATATTGCCATCCCTATCAGGAACAAGCAGAGAAATCAAGCGAGCTCCATAGGGGATAAACTTGGCTGTGATATTGTTGGCGGAGATGGTGAAGATTTGGAAGGGATCCGCGACGGACTGCGAAGTAGAACAATCCTGGCTGAGAGAAACTCGCACAAGAAGAAGTGCTGCGAGGTAGTGCTTGAGATACATATTCAATGATCTTAATTCAGTCGTCACTCGGGTAAAGGTAGACGACAAAAACACGACACAGAAAGATTTGAAATGTGAATTTGCGCTACATGATGCCAAAGGGCTACTTCTAATTCTTTAATAGTGCCGAGGGGAACAATTAATGTAGTTGCTAGAAGAAATAACTTAATCTGTATTTGTAGCTTCACCTGCATGGAACTCTCCTCGATTGCTTGTCCCACCCATAGTGAAACATACTTACTCACCCGCCATCTCAGATAACCGGCACTACAGCAGAGGAAACTATGATTCTAGACCCAGCCTTCTGACTAAACTACACACCAGGCGCAGGTCATTGTCTGAGCCCTTTTATTGGCCAAGGCGTTACGGGGCATGCCGGCTGACTGAGTGGCTTTCTTCAACTAGGACTAGATATGCAGCTAAAAATTCGGCCATCCTGCTCAGCACGTGGGTACGCACATGTTGGCTGTGGTATATCTGATTCACTATAATAGCAGATGTAGATCGATTATCCTAGAAACATCGCCTCAGATCCAGAGGTGAGTAGCTCACTTGATTCTCTTGTTCTTCGTATAACTAATTTCAATTGAGTTTCGATGAGACTTCGGGATAAGAGAGGTTGCAAGACTACGCTAAGTACCAAGTATATTACACCCTTCGTGAAATCTATTGATGAATATTCTCGGTGAATATTCTCGGTGAAGGTTCTTGGCACAGATTCCTCGGCGCGGATTCCTGGCCAAGGTTTCGGGCAGGTCTTCGGGCAGGTCTTCGGCATGTTCCCGATACGAGCAGGCCCCTTGTCGAAGATTCAGATGTTCGCTGCAGATGGCGTTCACCCAAGAGTCAAGTCATACGTTCGCTCACTCAGAGTAACCGTAGCCTGACTTTAATCCGTAAAAGTTCTTCGTACTGAATGGGTTGTCTATACGGTTAGGCTATCTATGCAGCTATACAAACTAAAGGGGACGGATACTGCGATGATGTCCTCGCAATTTTCGCCCGGAGATCGACCAGGGAGGCCAGTGTTCCATGGAGATCGGAACACGAGGGAGGGGATACAATCCCGAGTTGTGGTCTGTCGGCTTTGAAGTCCGAGCCGGCCATTGGCTGATCGAACCAAGGGGACCGATTGATCTGCCTATGAAATTTAGAGTTA